CTGCTAGTGAGTGAGGTCTCCATCTCTTCACAATGTCTCTCATTGCCCATAGCATGAAGGTGCAGTTAGAGCCATCACCAGTAGGGAGCAGCAGAGGGACAGCAAACTGGCACATAGACATCTTGGTTACAATTTCCTGTTGTAAAAAACTATCGAAATTGTTCACAAGAACACACAGAACATCCAGGGGGTGGACAGAATCAGATGTGTCCATTTCTGGGTCCTCAGTAAAACACAGAAAACTGCTCTGACTCTCCCTTTTTCTTGCACGTGGTCCAGATTGTTTCAGTGTTGTGTTTCTCGCGTTCACATTTGAAGCCATTACATTCTGCAGAAAATACCAGGGAATGTCCTCTACTGTCCGTAATTCAATGCTGTTCATAGTTTCCTGTCCGATATTCAGAACGTCCTGTAGAGTGAGCTTTTTCTGTCTGTATTCTCCCATCTTTAGCCGTGACACGAGGGAAGCATATTCGGGGCTTTCTCCTGGGGAAAACAAACAATAAAGAAAAGTGTGTTTAGTGTCTCCTTTTCTTTAATGCTGAAGACAATATTGAATTTTATACAATCTTATAAAGCATACTTTAGATACTGTTCTTCTTCATAAAATGGGAAAACCCAACAAAGGCAAATTAGTGATAGCCAGTAAAGAGCTGACACAGGGTTGGAAACGACATACTGGCTAGTTCCAAAATTAAACCGATTTGTGGCAAGAGGACAAGAGGAAATGATGACCCCTGGTGTACATGTGAATATATGTGTGTATGTATTTGTATGGCGTGTCAGAATATGTACATGCTGTTTGTACTTTTATGGCAGGGCAGGAGGCTTCATATTTGTTTTACTTTCTTTACTCAAACCTCCCAGCAGCAAATAAATGGTTAACAGTATTTTGTAAAGTAAAAAATCAACCACAGTTAAGGTCTCTGTAACAAATGGTAATGAGGCTCCTCCCACTTCCTCTTTTATTTTGCAGTTTTCCTCCCAGGTGAGTCTACTCCAATTATATTGCTAAGTCAAATCTTGCTATATTTTGTAATTTATATATCCTTGTGCCTTAATTTTTGGGATTGCCTTCCCTACTTTAGTTTGGCTATTTCTCTCTATACCTGTTCATTAAAATCCATCCCTTAATTGCTTTCTTCCTCTCAGACCGACTTCTCTAGTCGACTAGGAGTTTTTCCCAGTGGCCTTTCTGCATGAGGGTTCCTTCAGGTTTCCCCTCGGTAATTACCGTTCAGGGCACTTTTGACTTTGGCGGGCTGCGTCCCCTACCTTCCGCGACCGGCCTGCTCTATTTGCTCAGTCTACACTACTCGCATCTGTCTCTGATGCTCAGCTCTGCCCTTTCCTTCCCATTGAGGCCATTTTCTCCAACGGTTTTTCCCACCGTTTTCACTCCGCCTTATCACCTCACAAACCTGTTTGCTCGCAGTTTGCGGCATAGCGGTCAGACGCAAAGATCCTTCCTGCTTCATTCTTCTAACTGTAAGTTTATTTTTCATTCGACCATATACTGTTATAGTGTTTTTTCCACCCTATTTTAAAGGATCTTTTATACTGATTATCCCTCATTTCCTTAATTGCAGATTGAACAAGAAGGCTCTCCCTGCAATTATCTATACCCCTGTCGTCATCCTTATTTATCACACACTGATTAAATTTGGTTTCCCAAATTAACCTCTCGCTGGCATCTACTGTGGGTGACCCCCACTGTTGTGTATTACCTCTGCTGTGGGTGACCCCCACCATAGTATTTTGGCATTTTACCTTATGATGATTTATAGTTTGTCTGCCTTTTGCTAATTTGTGGGTAACCCCCACTTCTGTGAATGTTTGTGGCTAATCCCACTTTTGTCTGCTTAGTGGCTAATACCCACTTATACTTACTACACAGTGGCTAGCACCCACTGCATATTTACTGTACCTCTGGGAAATCCCCCATTTACCGGCAGTTAGGGTGAACTCCAACTGACCATGGGCAAAACCCAATTACTTTATTACTCACCACTGATATTGGCCCAACTGGTGAACTGTATTTCAAATATTTATTATCTTTTATTGTTTTTTTTATAACCTAATGCAAACATATCTAACAAACCAGATACTGCTATATATGCCTAACTTAAAACCTGGCTTTTCTTTGCTATTGCAGAGTTGATCCCTAAGTGCCCTTCAAGAACAACCCAATCCTGGTACCAAGGTGACTTTACAGTGCCTATCTGATTCCGATGAGTCTCCTGATCCATCTGATCATGAAAGTGCTTCCCGCAAACGCCCTTGGAAGGGCCATAGTGCCTCAGCCAGGAAAGGCAAGGCACCGGCCAAAACTCCTAGGTTAGCTCATAAGTCCCTACCACGACTTCAAGAACTAGACCCTTTAAAGGGTTCTACCTCACATGATCTACAGATCGTGGATGAGTATAATGCTGGCTTCTCTGATGGCGACCTGTCCTTCAATGACAGGGCTAACGCTTCCTCACAATATGTAATTGAGACCATTATTGATCAATCTCAGAACTCAACTGCCAGCTCCCAGCAGGAACAGTCTAATGAGACCCTGCTGGACTCCCAGGGCCAACCCTTTTTTGACCCTAGATTAAATAAACATCCTCGCTCAGTCAAATGGGCTCCACCTGTTTTGCAAACTATGGTTACGTAAATCTCTTGACAAAGAAGTTAGAAACAAGCAAAGAGCCGAATGTCCGCGTTCAATTATACCAGACAAAGTTGCTCTAACCCCCGAATTCGACTCTATTCTGATCAAGTTCCTTACTAGATCAGGTAAGGACCCTTGCAAGGGCTTTGAGCAAGTCCTTAAGGCCGTACAAAATAAACTGTTCGATATTGCCGGGCCACTTCTTCAGATTTTAATGCTAGCTGAGGATGCTCTAGCAGACAATTCAATTGACCCACACCTCATTCGTTAATGGAAGCAGAGGGCCCTTTGTCTATTGGGTAATGCGAATGTGGCCATATACACAGAACAGTGGAAAGCCGTTTTATAGAAAATAGATACCAAACTAGCTGAATTAGGCTCTAGAGAGCTGGACCCCAAGGCTAACAGCCTCCTATTTGGGGAACAATTTATCAAAGACCTTAACAAAAATATTTCCATTTTAACTCCCTCACTAAATCCCAATCATCACTCAGCAGAGTATTCCATTCCCATCGTTTATATGGGAGAGCCAGTCACCATCAAGACTGTACAAAGGCAGACAAGCCTTCACTGGCTACAGGCCTCGTCCCACTGAGCCTTGGAACTCTGGTCCATACCAAAGACCGTATTACAGACAACTGTTCCCTGGCAGAGGTCCCATCAGAGGACACGTGTCTGCTTCCCGTTGCGGACTTACTGCTTCTTCTAATCAACATTACTTATTTACGTTTTCCTATTGCAGGAACCCATTTTTTCCCTCAGTGGCCACAACTAACTCAGGATCCTTGGATCCTCTCGACAGTCTCAGGTTTCCTCATAGACCTTGTGACCAACCCTTCTCAGAACAGACCTACTATACCACTTAGAATGTCTCTCACTGAACTCTGCAAACTCAGAGACAAGGGTTCTATACAACCATCGACCACGCAACCGATATTCGTCAGCAATATTTTCCTAGTCAAGAAAAAATCCAGAGAGTTCTGTACGGTTATCAATTTAAGAGAACTACACCTTTCAGTTGCTTATCGACACTACAAAATGGAAGAGATACACCTGTTATGGGACCTCCTCTGCGAGGGAGACTGGTACTCACACTTCGACCTCAAGGATGCTTACCTAACTGTCCCAATAGCACATTCCCATCGGTGCTACCTCCAATTTCTTTGGCACTACGAACTATGCCAATTAATCTGCCTCCCTTTCGCCTCTCCTCTTTGGTGCTTCACAAAGCTGGTAGGGATACAACAGGAATATAAGCGCTCGCTACACAGTGCAAAAAGGAATGGGCAGCAGAGAATCTTTGAGACTTCCCAAAAATCTCACCAAGAGAACAAGTATAGGTAGACAGAGTGATAAACCGCACCCTATAAAGTGAATATACAGTGCTGATAGTGCAAATGACAGAGGTATATATACCTATATATCTGATGACATCTGTGACTTCAAATTATCTTGAAAAAAACAGAAAATATATACACAAATAGTGCAATATGTAGCAGCAATATTTAATGTTAGGTAAAGTGTTATACATATATTGCTGCTACATATTGCAGTATTCGTGTATATCTTTTCTGTTTTTTTCTGATTGATGGAGATTGTCAGCAGGACCTTTTTGGAGGTGCAAGCCTATGTCATTGCCAATAGACAGAGGGTGACCTCCATAAACCCAGATGAAGGAAGAAGGGAGCAGAGGGCGCCGGGAAGCACAACCACCCTGGCCCACAAGCTACCATACAATGCCTTCAAAGAGTTCAAGGAAGCAGAAGAAGGCATTGATGACTTTTTACAAGAATTTGAGCGCCAGTGCCTACTCCAAGACGTGGACCCCAGCGACTGGGTCACCATCCTGGCCAACAAACTAGTGGGGAAGGCAGCGGATATTTACCAGAAGAGATGATCAGAGACTATCCCTTTATTACACAAATCCTCCTGGCCCGGTATGCGGTCACCCACGAGCAATACCGCTGAAAGTTTAGGGAGACTCGGAAAGGGGAGAAGGACTCCCATGCAGAGTGGGCATGCCGCACCACAAGGGCCACCCAGAACTGGCTCAACTACCATCAAGCCAAGTTCCCGGAGGAGATCACCCAGCTCGTCATGCTAGAGCACTTTTTCAATGGGCTCCCCAACGACACGGCTGGTGAGAGACCGCCAGCCCCAGACCCAAGAAGTATTGGTAAGAGCTGCTGAAGCTAGCTCACGATATCCCCTTGGCAGGGCATTTGGGCAGGAGCCAGACAGCGTCTCGGCTCACCCACAGCTTCTTCTGGCCAGTCATCTCTCAGGGTCTGAGGCAGTACTGCCAGATGTCTGCCAGAGAGTGGGGAAGAGAAGGGACTTGCACAGGCCCCCCTTTCATCCCCTACCTATTAGGGAAGATCTGTTCGGCAGAGTAGCTGTCGACATTATAGTTGCGCAGGCACTTTGGTGACTCTAGAGAACCTCGGGCAAATCGCAAGTCCCCGCGACGGCGACTTTGCATTCGGATATCTGCCCTATCAACTTTCGATGCCACTTTTTGTGCCTACCATGGTGACCACGGGTAACGGGGAATCAGGGTTCAATTCCGGAGAGGGAGTCTGAGAAACGGCTACCACATCCAAGGAAGGCAGCAGGCGCGCAAATTACCCACTCCCGACGCGGGGTGGTAGTGATGACAAATAACAATACAGGACTCTTTAGAGGCCCTGTAATTGTAATTAGTCCACTTGAAATCCTTTAACTATGATCAATTGGAGGGCACGTCTGGTGCAGAGCGACTGACCCGTGCTTGCTGCAGCTGAAACTCCACTATCGCCTGCTGCTGCTCGCACAGTCTCTCCAGCATGTGCAAGGTGGAGTTCCACCTTGTGGGCACGTCACATATGAGGCGGTGAGCGGGAAGGCACAGACAGGCGAGCAGCAGCAGGGTGAGAACGCCGAAAGCACAGCCGCTACAGTGAATTTCACATCCTGTTCCAAGTTGAGGATCAGTCTGGTGATGGCTTCTGCTATCCAGTACTCTTTTTACTGAAGCTGCATCAGGGTCCTGGTATGTGGCATCACAAAATGCTGGTGCACAACACCAGGGGGCGTGCGATTACCCTGAACCAGACCCTGCTAATCCATTCCACACTGTGACTCCTGACTTCAACATCAGGCATACTGGGTCCCGGTCGTCTAACTGCTTCCCAGACAGTGTCTGGGTTCCGGTCACCGGACTGCGAAACTGCAAATGGCTTGTTAAATCTGTTATGGTTCCTTTTATCACTCCATCTGTTACTTAGATAACTGTGGGAATTCTAAAGATAATACATGCCGACGAGCGCTACGGGACGTCCGCTCCGCTTTTGCACCCTGCTCCCTCTTATGCTGTGCTGGTGCCTCCGTGCGACCAGCGCCTCTTCCTCTAAACTGCACACATCACTCACATGACCTTGATTCCATGTGGGGTCTAGGACCTCATCATCCTCCACATCATCTTCCACCCACTCCTCAACCCTGCCCTCCTTGCCGGTCTGCACACTGCAGAAAGCCACAGCAGCAGGCTCTTGTGTTTTTCCAGCATGTAAACTCTGCAACTCCAGCTTATATATAGATGCTGGGTCACATGCTGCACTGGCCAATCACAGCCATGCCATTAGTAGGCATGGTTGTTATGGCTTCTAAGGTAGACATGTGCAATTCGTTTCGGTCCGAATATGAATTCGGACGAAATTCGGGCAATTCGGACATTCGGGTACTTCCGAATGTCTGAACTTCTGAAGTTCCGAAGTGCCGAAGTTCCGAAGTGCTGAAGTGCCAAAGTTCTGAAGATGCCGAATTTCCGAAGTGTCGAACTGCCGAAGTGCCGAAGTTCCGAAGCACAGTATTGCCTAAGTACTAATATACTTACCCAGTGAAAGAAGAAAAATTTTACATTGTATACAATTTTAAATAAAAAGTATACAAACAGCCAGGATTCAGCTGTAAGCATTTGCAACACTTACAACAGTCAAGTAACATACATTCATATAACATGTAAGTTACTTGGCCAGTCAATGTAATGACAGGAATGAATAAGTAGATAACTCCCTAATTCCCACGGCATTAGGGAGCTATCTACTAAAAGGCTGAAAGGCCACAGGCTGCTCACTGTTTGCTAGACATGCCCCTACTCGTGGTATAGCGAGTAGGGGCAAACTTTACTAATACTAAGTCATTTTTACTTAGTATTAGTAAATTTGTCTGAAAGACCAATTTAGGTCTTTCAGCCTTTTGGTAGATAACTCCCTAATACCGTGGGAATTAGGGAGTTATCTACTAAGCGGCTGCAATAGAAGTGCCGAAGTCCCGAAGTTCCGAAGTTCCGAAATGCCGAAGTTCCGAAGTGTCAAAGTGCCGAAGTTGCCGAAGTTCCAAAGTGCCGAAGTGCTGAAGTTCTGAAGTTCCGAAGTGCTGAAGTGCCGAGGTTCCGAAGATGCCTAATTTCCGAAGATGCCTAATTTCCGAAGTTCCGAACTGCCGAAGTTCCGAAGTGCTGAAGTGCCGAAGTTCCGAAGTTGCCAAAGTTCCGAATTGCCGAAGTCCCGAATTGCGAAAATTCCGAATATCGGAATGCCGAACCGAACCGAAAATTTTCCACATGCACGTGCCTATTCTAAGGGCACACGAGTCAAACACTTGTTGATTGGCTGCCCTGCAGCCTTTCAAAACGCGCCATTAAATCGCTGAACACTGAACTCCAACCTGAACATACACTGATATGTCTGTGTTCGGGTCCGGGGTCCAAAAAACTTAATGTTCGGTACGAACCCGAACTTTACAGTCCGGGTTCACTCAACTTTAGTGGTAAATAATCAAATCACTTTCCCTTTAAGATGAAGTTTAAACATAAGATATTAAGGTAATATGACATCCTCTGTATATAGTGGTGCATAACACCAGAAAAACAGTTAAGTGAATAAACCCTAAACAACACTCTCCTAGTAAATATATATAGCGTTATAGAATACATATAAGTGTTGGAATATTAGGAATAAAGGTTGCATTCTATATAAATTTAACCAAAATATATAACAAGGACCCTAATCAAGGAAACAAACCAAATCAATACCTATGTTTAAACTTCTGGGTTCCAAGGTTTTTAGTCTATGGATCCAGAAGGTTTCCCTCTGGGCCAATTTTTTAACCCTATCACCTCCACGCCAAAAAGGTAAAACTCTTTCAATACCCATACATTTAAAATCCCTAAAAGTGAAAAACAGTGAGCTGGAACAGAATGGGTAGTAAATTTCTTTCTGATTTTATTCAAATGCTCAAGTAGTCTAACTTTCAGAGCTATCTTTGGTGCGGCCCACATATTGTTTGCCACACGGACACTGCAGTAAATAAACTACATGGTCCATGTGGCAACCTATCTCAGTTTTAACTTTAAACGCCTCTCCTGTAACAATGCTACAGAACTCTACGGTTCTCTCAATAGATGCTGTAGTAGAGGCCTTACAAGAACCACAAACACTAAAAAATCCAGAATTAACTGGAGTACTGTCTCTATTTTGTTTGATAGCATAGCTAGGGGCTAGCATATTTTAAAATTTTTTGTTCTTTTTGTAGATCACCATAGGGCGATCTGATAAAGATGTTCCCAGAACCGGATCTTGTAGTAGAATGGGCCAGAAATTATGTAAACTTCTTTTAATCTTTTGGTGATCCGTATTGTATTGGGTAATGAAAGCAGATTTTAAATTGGTATTAGCAATGGGCAAAATCGATTTATCCTCCGACAGCGTGTTGCGCTCCAACAGGCCAATGGAGCGAATTTCCTTTTGCAATGTGTTTTTGTTGTAACCCTTGTCAAGGAGTTTATTTTTAATATGTGAGGATTGGATTTTAAAATCCTGAAGGTGGGAGCAATTCCGCCTTAGGCAGGTAAACTGACTTTTGTCTATACCCTTCAGCCAGGGTTTATGGTGACAGCTTTGTTGGTGTACAAAGCCGTTGCCATCAGTTGGCTTAAAAAAACACTTGGTGTGGATCAGACCTTGATCACGAAACAGAGCAAGATCCAAAAAATGGATTTCATTCTTGTTCCATTCTGGGGTAAAAACCAAATTGAACAAATTAGAATTGAGATACTGAACATATTCCTGAAAACCAACTGAAGACCCCCTCCAAATAATAATAATGTCATCAATATACCGCCGCCAGAGCACCAGGTTCCCCCTCCAGTCATGCCCTGACCACACAAACAATTCCTCCCATCTTCTCATGTAGGTGTTGGCATAACTGGGGGTGAACCTGGTGCCCATGGGGTTCCCTGTGATCTGCAAAGAACATTCGCCATTAAAAAAGAATTAATTGTGATCTAAAATAAATTAAACAGAAGATAAAATAAACTCCTTTTGACAACTTATTGTCCTTAGTCATATAGTAATCAATCGCCTCTAGTCCCAATCTATGACCAATCACAGTATACAGAGAGGTCTCATCTAGTGTGGCCCAACTGTATTCTGGATCCCACTCAATACTTTCCAGCTCCTGTAAAAAAGATTTGGTATCTCGAACATATGAAGGTGCCCCTTGTGCGTACTTCTGTAGAAAAGAGTCTGCATAAGCAGATAAATTAGCAGTTAACGAATTGACACTGCTAATAATGGGGCGGCCCGGTGGATTAGGAAGACGTTTATGAGTTTTGGGAAGGAAATAAAAAATAGGGATAACAGGGTTTTTTTTGGAACGAAAATTCAAAATTCTTTTGTGAAATGATCTCATCATCTTTAGCCGCCTCCAAAATCGTCCTAAATTCCGAATTAAAATGGGCAGTGGGATTATTGTGAAGGGTAATGTATGTTTTGTTATCTCACAAAATATTAAGTGATTCTTCCAAATAATATGAGGTGGTCATCAACACTATGCCACCCCCCTTATCTGCTTCCCTGATTACTAGGTTATCACATTCCATCAAGTTCTTTATAACGGTCTCTTCCCTCTTGGTAGGATTGAAGGCCCGTGATCTCTTATTATCCTTTCTAGTAAAGGCTTGGAACATCTGGTCAACCATATATTCAAAGGTTTCTTAAAAAAGGGCCTTTACTATGGATTGTAAAAAAATGTGATCTTGGTTGAAATTTGTAATCAGCTTTTGGTTGAAATTTGTCACAAAAATTATATACAGTGAAGTACAATTAGCACAGTCAAATCAAGCACTATACATGAATGCACTCATGAGATTGCGTAGAATGAAGCGCTCATAAGGTGTCTTCCAACTACCGTCCTCCAAAATCAGGACTATAAAGAAGGACATTTGCAAACTGATGGGCTCCCCTCGCTTCTACCTTCGCGATCTAGCAAAGGTTATCGGCCTCCTGTCAGCCTCCATTCAGGCCATCTTTCCAGGTCCATTACACTACAGAGCAATGCAACGCCTCAAGGCCTTCTACCTGCACAGATCCACTTAATACGATCAACTTATCTCGCTAACAGACGAAGTCCATTTGGAACTAGATTGGTGGCTTCACAATATGGAAGCATGGAATGGAAGGGTGATTTTCGGCCCCCACCCTGGAATCGGATGCTTGCTCTCAGGAAGAGGTGCCACTTGCTTGGATCTCTCCACTGGAGGGCTCTGGACGCCCTCAGAGCGGACATTACACATAAACTGCCTCAAATTGATTGCTGGATTCTTTACAGTCCGCA